TCCCAGCTCTTGTCAAAGTCATAGTCATAGCCTGTTTTGTGTACGACCTTGTTTGCCTTTTCGACCTGCCTTTTTGCTTCTCGATTTTTGGATACCTCTGACTGCCTGCCTGCCTGTGGTTAGGGTTAGGTTAGGCTGTGTACCGAACCCTGTCTGGAATTAAACCTGCCTTTACGTCAGAACCCTCTGTGTTGTGCATTTGTGTCTACCTGTTCTGTGCTCTGGGGAGTTCATGACAGAACAAACTGGCCAGAATGGACACAGCCGACACGGACCCGGTTCGTAATGCCCTTACTGCTAAGGGTCAGAAGCTAGCTCAGCAGGAGCAACAGCTTGCTCAAGTCTGAGTGACCTGGCCATACGACAAGACTCAATGATACAAAGTCTGGGCTCGCAGGTTCATATGCTTCTGGAGAAGCTCGACAATGCAGCCCTCACTGCAGCTGCGCCAAATGTCGGCCCTGACTCTCCGCCGATCGTGGCCGCTGCCACTCCGCCACCCCATGTGAATGCAACATCATGCCCACTGTTGTCTCTGCCCCAGAGGTTCCCAGGAGACTCAGGTGATATCAAGCCATTTCTCACACAATGTGACCTCCATTTTGAACTGCAGGCGGCAGCCTTTCCTACTGAGCACTCCAAGATTGCTTTTATCATCTAACACCTGTCTGGACACGCTGAAGCCTGGGCTACTGCTGAATGGAGTCGCCGCACCTCGTCATGTGCCTCGCTCGCGGACTTCACCAGGGCGCTGACGCAGATCTTCTAGCACACCTCACCAGGTCGGGAGGCTGCCCGGGCGATCATCAATCTGAGGCAAGGCAAACGTAAGGTCACAGACTATGCCATAGACTTTCGTACTCTTGCCGCTGAGAGTGAATGGAATGCTGCTGCGTTAGCTGACGCATTTTTTCAGGGGCTGTCCGGAAGCATCAAGAATCATCTGGTCACCATAGACTTACCGGGGGATTTGAATTCGCTCATCGCTCTCGCCATCAAGATCAACAAGAGGCTCACGGAACGGGATCAAGACCGGTGTCCTGACCGGCCTAATCGACTTCGCCCGCTTTCCACATCCTTCACTCCACCATCCGACACCAGGGAGGAACCCATGCAGCTGGGTAACACCCGTCTCCCCCACGAGGAGCGCCTTGGCCGGCAGAGGGACGGGCGCTGCTTCTACTGCGGTCTTCTGGGACACCAGGTCGCAGACTGCCATATCAAGGCCTCCAAGTACGGACTCAAGACAGCTGTAAGGGTGAGCAAGAACACTGTTATTCATAACCCTGCTCATTATGAAGTTAAAGTTAATTTTCACTCGAACACTGCTTCCATGATGGTGCCGACTTTCATAGACTCCGGCTCCGATGCCAATCTCATGAACCTCTCTCGTCAGGAGTCTGGACCTGAGCCAGCTCCGGTTACAACGTCCCCTCGAGGTGAAAGCGGTTGATGGCAACCCTCTGGACCGGATTACCCACCATACTCAATCAGTAAAAGTCACGTTTCCTGATAATCATACTGAGAGTATTAGTTTTCATGGTTTTCCCGCCATGTCCCATTTGGCTATCCTCGGGCACCCCTGGTTAACCAGACATAACCCCAATTTTGACTGGGTAAGGGTCAAGTTCTGTCATGGGGCCAGGGCTGTTACCAGTCATGTTTTGTTCCGCAGCCAGCATTGGCTCACCAAGACCCTGACCTTTCGGGGTTACCTGCTTGTTACTATGACTTAGCTTCGGTTTTCAGTAAAGTAAACGTTAAATCACTTCCTCCTCACCGCTCTTATGACTGCTGTATTGACTTGTTGCCAGGAGCTACTCCATCTAGGGGTAGGCTGTTCTCTCTCTCCTCCCCAGAACGTCAAGCCATGGAGGAGTACATCCAGGACTCGCTGGCGGCAGGGATTATCCGTCCTTCTTCTTCACTGGCAGGAGCAGGATTTTTCTTTGTGGAGAAGAAAGATAAATCCCTGCGCCCCTGCATAGATTATCGGGGGCTCAATGACATAACAATTAAAAACAGGTACCCTCTCCCGCTCATCTCCACGGCCTTTGAACTCCTTGAGGGAGCCAAGGTATTCACAAAACTAGACTTATGTAATGCTTACCATCTCGTACGCATTAAGCAGGGGGATGAATGGAAGACAGCGTTCAACACCCCCACAGGACACTATGAGTATCTTGTCATGCCCTTTGGGTTAACCAATGCTCCTGCTGTTTTTCAGAATCTTGTGAATGACGGCCTACGGGACATGCTCAATATTTTTGTATTTGTGTATCTAGACGACATCCTGGTATTTTCCCCCGATGAGGAAACTCAGAAAGGCCAGGTCCGGAAGGTGCTACAACGGTTGCTCGACAACCAGTTGTATGTCAAGGCGGAAAAGTGTGAGTTCCACAAGCCCTCTGTGTAATTCCTGGGATTTGTGCTTGCTGAGGGGAAGATCCAGATGGACCCCGCCAAAGTTTCTGTGGTTGCAGAGTGGGCCGCGCCTCGTTCTAGGAAGGAGGTTCAGAGGTTTCTTGGTTTCGCCAATTTCTATCTCAAATTTATGTGCAACTATAGTTCTATTGCTGCTCCATTGCATAACCTGACCTCTCCTAACCAAACTTTTGTCTGGTCCACAGAATGTGAAACCTCTTTTAACCTCCTCAAGAAGAGTTTCACCTCAGCGCCCGTGCTCACACTCCCAGATCCCTGCCAGCAGTTCATAGTCGAGGTTGACGCCTCCGATGTGGGTGTTGGGGCGGTGCTCTCACAGATTAATCCAGATAATGGTAAATTGCACCCTTGTGCTTTTCTTTCCAAGAAACTCACCAGCGCGGAACAAAATTATGACACTGGGGATAGGGAACTGCTGGCGGTCAAGGTGGCTCTGGAGGAGTGGAGGCACTGGCTCGAGGGGGCACAACAGTCATTTCAGGTCTGGACTGACCATAAGAATCTTGAATATCTGAAATCTGTCAAAAGGTTAAACTCCAGGCAGGCCAGATGGTCTATTTTCTTTAGCCGCTTTGATTTTGTTCTCTCATTCCGCCCTGGCTCCAAAAACACCAAACCTGACTCTCTCTCGCGTGTGTTCCAATCAGGCTCCCAAAACCATCCTCCCAAAGTCCTGTTTTTTTTCAGCCTTCTCTTGGGGAGTTGAGGACAAGGCCAGAGCGGCTAGTGTCGGTGTCCAGGTTCCTCCGGAGTGTCCGGAGGACAAACTGTTCGTGGTCCCTGAACTCCAGGGGGAGGTTATACATACACACCAACAAGGTAACTTGCCACTCGGGGGTCCTTAAGACCCTGTCTGTAGTGCAGGAGCGTTTCTGGTGGTCCAAGATGAAGAACAATATCACTGATTATGTTAACGCTTGCACAGTCTGCGCCATGTTCAAGGTGTCCCATCAGAGACGGGGGTGGGGGGAGAGCGGGCGGGGGTGCGTCACATGTCCATGAGTCTGATCAAGTTTCTGTTTAGATTTCGCACATTTCACGTTATGTCTTGTCTTTCCTGTTTTTATTTTGAAATCACTAACCCTTTGTCTCTGTTCTAGATTTACCTTCCTGCACACCCTTCCCCCGTCCCGTCACACCTGTTTCCCATCTTCCCTGATTACCTCTTGTATATTACCTTGTGTGTCTCACAGTCTCGTCATAGTCATAGTCATAGCCTGTTTTGTGTACGACCTTTTTTGCCTTTTCGACCTGCCTTTTTGCCTCTCGATGTTTGGATACCTCTGACTGCCTGCCTGTGTACCGAACCCTGTCTGGAATTAAACCTGCCTTTACGTCAGAACCCTCTGTGTTGTGTATTTGTGTCCACCTGTTCTGTGCTCTGGGGAGTTCATGACACTGGCAGTTATTGGGCCATTGCCCTGCTAAATTATGATCTTAAAATAATTGCAAATTGGCTTGGTAGACTGATAGAAACTATCATCCACCCAGACCATATCCCGAGCAGACACTCCTTCTGTGATGTTCACAAAATCCTTAATATTATGTATGCTGATTACGGCAAAGAGGACAGGGCTGCCATACTGTCTTCAGACGCCCACAAGGCATTCGATATGATAGAGTGGCCCTATCTGATTGCAACACTTAGGGGGGTTTGGATTTGGCAACACTTTTTTAGAATGATTTTATAGAAAATCATTGTAGTCTAAGCTGCTCACTTTCAAGCCAGATACCATTGAGCACTAACAATCCTTTTCTCCCCCATGGTCCTTGGTAAGTGTTTTTCTGCCTGTGAGGTTGAGTTCTTTTATTAGTTTCTCAGTACATGAGCAGTACTGCCAAGGTCAGGTAAAATGTAAGTTGTCACCTTTTGGTCCTTGATGGTCTCGATTTGAACAGGAACTATTGCTAAGATGCTCTGTCACACCTGTATCGCTGACTCTGGCAGCCTGTCCTTTTTTTTTTATGACTACTTTTCAATGATGAGGGGTCTTACCTCCTTGATAATAACATTGTTTTTGGCCTTCATGTGCCACACTATATATTGCTATTGCATGCAAACTTGGCGGCTTATTTTCTTTGTGCATGAATTACTCATGTGCCACTGTTTCAGACAGCTGAAGCATAGAGCTTTTACCTCTAAGTCAGTCTTCTCCTTATGAGGAGACTTTTTTTATTTGCACTGCTCCATAGCATATTCTCCACCCTGACAGGGTTGGAAAATACACAGACTTGTGTTATGGCTTGGTGTTAGGACCCAAAAGCACACCTCAAAACTCGAGTTGGAAAAAGAGGGAGTTTATTGAGTACTCGGCGATGGAAAGGTAGGTAGATGAGTTGATGGTTTAGGTGATGGTTCTGGACCCGTAGCAGGGAGGTGGAGGCAGCTGCGGCTGAGGACAGAGGATACGCAGAGTGAGCACAGGAACAAAACTCTAGGAATAACCACAAGGAATAATTACTCTCAGGTCTAGCCGATAGGTACCTCGAAGGAGTAAGTATAATCTGGCAATGAGTGGATGAACTGCCGCGGTTCTTAAACGGAGGTTGATGAAGGTGGATGAGATTCAGGTGTGCCGCACCACCGACGACCAGAAAGCTAGGCCACACCTGACTGGGAAATGACAGACAGGGAGGAGGGAGAAACACACTAGGAGCAGGGAAACAGGAGGAGAGAGAGAACGCAGGAGGGTGGAGATCCTGTTGTTGCAGCTGAGACTGTGACAAACTTTGCTGTAATTGACATTACTTTCTGGCTTGGACTTGGGTTTCAGTGCTTGATTACTGGTGATAGTTGCATCTGTGGTGAATCCTCCTTTCACCTTTCACACAACTCTGATTTAAAAATTATAAAACAAAAGTATTTATTCTACTATGTTTTATCTTCTTACAGGAGTAGTCAAGTTCTCCTCTCTAGCAAACTGTGGCAACTCATGACCAAGACCTCCATCTACTGTATTTCAGAGATATCTACTGAAATGAGCATGCTATCCAACTAACAGTAGCATCATGTTGTAATACACTAGATGTTGTGTTAGTCAGTGTAGTGTCTAGTCTGCGTTCACTTCCACGAAGAAGAAGAGTTTCCTCCAGAGCTTGAAGTTACACTACAGCTTCCGACTAAAAAAACAAACAAACTTCCAACTAGCATCACAGAAATGCAGAGATCGCTGAAGGTCCTAGAAAGTGATCTTTATTTTGATCCCGAAGGACTGCTCTGACAAGAAACCACATTCAATGGTAAAAAGAAGAAAAAAAACACGAGTAAATCCTGGTTTGGCTTCCCACTGCTGGAGACAGCTCCAGGTAAAGAGATGTGATTTGATGCCGAGCTTGCAACTTTTCTTTTAGACTTGAGAGTAACGTCTAATGTTGGTCTGTAGTGAAACGTATCATTAGTATCATTAGTGCAAATGACAAACCGTACGGACAAACATTTCATAAATGTATGATATTAATGATGACGACAGATGTTTTAGCGATTTAGTAGAATTTAGCCTGTTCCTGTGGCTGTTGTCCAGCTAGTTGCATCAGTAACTTTTGTTTTTCAAGTAAGACAAAGAGACTGTATGATCCAGAACCAGCAGGTTCAGGATCCACTGCCTAATATTGTATTTATTGACTTTTTTATCACAAAAGCTTGAGGTTTTAACAGTTGTATCGTTAGCTGTTGAACTGAGCCGTAACCCAATACTTATATTTAACAGTGTAATCCTCAGGCTCTCAGTCAGTGTTGTTTGATTTCATTACGGGTACACAATGAATCTTGAAAATAGGGCCACAAAAGACCCACCTGTTGGATCTAGAGATGAAACACTTGAACACTAGAAATGCCAGATGATTAGAATTACCATTCAAATTGTATTCATCCTATAACCATGATTGATTACTCAAGTTGGGCTATGTACAGGGGCGGCATGGTGCTACAGTGGTTAGTATTGTCATCTGTAGCGTACATACCTGGCCTGGCATCAGTCACAAGCCATTAAAGAAGTTGATTGCAAGGACATGCAGAGTTGCGGACCCACAACTGACACTTTGTGACTCTTCTCATCATAAAACTATCAAATTGATAGGAAACACGGAAAAAGGATCGTTCTCTCACAAACAGTCAATGCTTTTAGCATGTCAGAGAGACACAGAACCAGACCAAGGGTCAAAGGGTCAGCTCCAGAGGATCAACCAATGGATACCAGGCAACTGGAGAATATAGGCAAAATCTCCAGTTTGTAAAAATAAGACTTTGTCTAATGATATCTGATTGTTTCTTATATAGGACAAGTAACACCAAAAGGACTGATTATCACTACGGTGTGAATCCTGGCCTCTCTGTGCCATGCATGAACACACACACACACACACACACACACACACACAAACACACACACACACACACACACCAACCTCCCTTCCTCTGTCCCTCTCTAGATAAGAGTCTAAACTACAACCCACATTCCAATCCTGGGTAGTGATCAGCAGAACACTCTTCACAGACACAGATCTGAGGAAGAATATATAATTAAAGATCTAACTGTTCTGTAACTCATGAGATGTTTCTATGTAATAGTTCAATCCCAAACTTCTATCCTATAGAATGTTTGAAATGTAACATGTAGACTTTAAGACAATGTCCTTCATGTGACCATACTGTCAGTATCTTTCACACAAGGTAACACACACTACATGACATACAGAATGTCCATATTATTATTACAGTCAAAGAACTGCCGTGTAATCCACATTTATAGATTATTTGTTTTAGGAAATGTTTATATTGTTGTTTGATCAATTAACCACTTGTATTATGATTAATTCCAGGTTTGAAGGATGTAATATGGAATCCACACTTGTATTACTCCTGTCTGTCATTGTTAGTGTCATTAGGTTTATATGTTATTTCATTTAATGTTTTATGGTCATGGTGGAAGATGGATGTGCGAGTTTATAGGTAAACTACAATTAAACCATTCAAAAGTTCCATGGAAAATTACTCTCTTCTCCAAGTTGAAACAAAGGAGAAGATGGGTGACGCCCCTGAAACGTGCGCCAGCCGCAGGGGATAAAATATTTGTGATCAATTCACACATCGCTGGAGAAACAATGCTAGGATGAGAAGCTAGAAGAGGAAAACAATGTTAGAAGCAGAGAAAGCTAGAGCTAGGAAAATGATGCAGAAACTAGAAGCTGTGAACTTTGTTCAATCGCTCTGTAGCTATGTAGTTCCAAACTGATAGCCAAGGCTCTTTAGCTCTTTGGCTCTTAGCCATTTTTGCACTTCATCATTTTGTCCGCGTCCTTTATTCTTTCTTTGCCACGTGCTCCAAGTAACATTATTTTTGTCTACACGTGAAATCTTTCATTTTTATAAGCCAAGTCGAGACCAACTGAACCAAATCAACAGGAGTGCCTCAGAGTAATTTTGTAACTTTTAATTATTATCAAGTTTTCCTTTTTGAAGCTTTTTGACAACTTTAGAGTCATCTGATCAACGTCAGTCTCCTCTAAAGTTATCCAGCCAAAGTGAAGAGCATTAGAGATTATTTCGTATCAACCCACAAGAGACGCCAGCAGATAACACATCTGCCCTTGCATGACTGCCTGCAGAGAAGCCAACCGGAAATCAAGAGTGCCTGAGACAGAAAGTCTTCTGACAAACTCCACCAGAGCTAAATCGCTGAGACACCGGCAGAATCTGTCACCGTGATAATGGGACACGGCCTTCAGGAGAATCCACCTAGATCCCGCGTCTCCAGGGTTACCATGGCAACCACAGTCACCTGGGTTCCAGCCAAGGGTCCTCAGCTACAGCGCAACTCACAGTATGCTGGTTTTAACACTCTGCTCATGACTGGGTTGATGTCGAAATGTAGTAATATTTAATCATCAAATCTCATTCGTAGCTGTATAGCCATAACATATTCTCTCCCACCATTGCCAACTCATCACATTGCTCATTTCATTATTATTTTCATCTTTATGATTATAACACCTTGCATTTACTCTGTAGATAGTAGTTTAGTTAATAAACCTGTTGTGTTCTTTTAACATAGAGACTGGAGATCCATTGAATTGAGAAGTCATGGCTTCTGATATGAGACTGATAAATTTATCAATGAAGTAATTCATTGTTGTCCTCCAAGAGGACTGGTGCCCCATTTCAATGAGAGTAAATTCTAAATTATGGCGTTAACGCTACACACCTCACAGTGAGAAGGTTCTGGGATCAAACCTCAGGCCAGAGGCCTTTCTGTGTGGAGTTTACATGTTCTCCCTGTGCCTGCATGGGTTCTCTCCAGATTCTTTGGCTTCATCCTACTGTCCAAAGACATGCACATTGGGTTAATTAGTGACTTTTAGAAATGCCCATACATGTGAATGTGAGCGTGAATGGTTGTTTGTCCCTATATGTCAGCCCTGTGATATGTAGGTTTGTTATGTGTCAGTTAAAACATGGTTAAAATCAGTGACAGCACTTCTCCAGGGATTTTTTTTGCCTTCTAAAACTTTTTACACCAAAGTTAGTGATACCCACTAACTAAGAGGGTTTTCAAACACAGGTAAACCCACTAAAAAGTGCTTTTACATGAGACGAGTTTACCTTTCTGTTTGGAGCAATGTCATCACATGCACACATTGCAGACACAGAGACTGAGCTCCTAGCTGACGTGCAAACTGGATAAAACTGGATTGGTGCTCCTGATGTCGGTGTGTGAGACACTTCAATCTTTGATTGTGTGTTTTTAAATCTTATGTCAGGGCTGCAGCTCACTCTTTCATCCTCAAGCAATGTAGCTGCAGTGGTTCTAGTTTAACAGCCCCATGTTCGGCAGGTGACAGGTCTGTTTACAACTCATGAAATAATGATAACAACAATAACTACAAATTGCATTTCCTGCTGAAAATGTGTGTGAATACTGAGAGCTGAATGAAATTGCTTAAGCAATTGCTGATGCCATGCTGAACTAGCTGAAGTATGGCTGAAGACTAAAAGCAGAGCTTGTAAGCTGGAGGTTGATAAAATGCTTTAAAACTGTGAAAGAAGAAATCATTTGTATACAGAAAGATGAACTGCATCCTAAACAGTAGAAACTTTAATTTAAGATATCAATAAGCCGAATAATCACTTAATAGCTGAAAGTCTTGTGAACAGTTTAAAGTTTCAAACTTTAAACTGTGTGTGTGTGTGTGTGTGTGTGTGTGTGTGTGTCTGTGTGTGTGCGTGTGTGTGTGTCAGAATTTATCAGAATTAAGAAAAAAGCATAAAACTTAAACTAGATATCAAAAAGTTGAATACAAGTTTAGCTGAAAGTCTTGTGAACAGTTTAGAATTTGAATGAGGTCTGTAGCTGAAAGTATGCTGAAGTAGTTGAAGGTCAAAGACGCTGAGGTTTTCAAGAATTTGAACAGTCTCCATTCATTTGAATGGCAAAAAGTAGCAGAAAAGCTTAATATTTGGAAAATTATAAATAGAAAAAAGTTAAATGGTGACTCTCCATTCACACTAATACTACTACTACTAACACTACTACTACTAATAATAATAACACATTTGCTATTCCCTTTGTTTACACTGGGCATGCAACAGGCAAACCCAGTACTGGTCCCTTGTCGTTATCTGTGACCTAGATGTGTTGGACATTTATATTAATGTTTAAATGCAACATTCCATGGGTGAAATTATTTCAGGTTGTGTTTTATTACTTTTTGAACATTTTCAGCACATTTTAACAATGTCGTGATAATAACTATGATAATTGGGTCACTACAATCCTGATATTACATTTTCATATTGAAAAGATGATTTGTTGTGACAGAGAGATGGAAAAGTGTGAAAGTCTGAATCTCTGCAAGGATGTAGATAAACTCCTAAACACCAATATAACCATAAAACTTAGATGTGTGACAGACTCCTTGGTACCCTGCTCCCCCAAGCTGGTAAAGATTGAGCTAATTTCAACTACTTTACTGCTGGGTGGCTTAATCTACAATAATAATTAATTAACTGGTTCATAAGTAAGAGTCTGAATCTTGCAAAGTAACTAGTAACCAAAGCTGTGCAATATCCTAAATGTAGTGGAATAAAGTGAAGTAGAAGTAATAACAGGGAAATACTCAAATATCTCAAGTTTGGACCACACAGTAGCTGAGTTAATGTTCCACAGCTGTCTTCAACAATATAGTCGTGCCAAAATTGATGATTAATGGAGTTTCAGTTAGTTTATGAATGTGGAATTATGTTTAATGAAAGTGAAAACCTGTAAAAGTGTTATTACTTACTTGTGTCACTTTCCAGAGATGGAGCTGTTCTGTCATTGAACCAGCAGATGTCGCTCTTCAACACAGTCAGTGAGGGCGGTGCTTTTGTCGGATCATCTGATTTCTGAGGTGAAAACAGACGTGAACAGTCTACAGAGTTTCAAGTAGAGGTGTACGAAACGTCATCTGAACCGGGTAGCATTGTGTATTAACGGTGTCCGTGCACTGAAAACCGAGGTAAACTCTATTTACCTGACAGATTCTTCAATGAAGCTCGACATTACATTATTTCCCACGGGACAGTGAACGCTGCATAAATGTATCTCGCGAGAAGAGACTTTCCTTGACAACACAGTACGTGGCTGACAGCTGTGGACTGGGAGTGTTTACTTGGATGCACTGGTTCGCAGGTAGAGAGCTGGTGAACGTCGAGTAAACGCACGGAACCTCTAACGTCTCTGGATTCAATCTCTGACCGGTTACCGATCCCGAGGAGGCATTCCACCGACGCCCCCCCCACCGCCTGGCAGCGGCTATAGGGACCGCTGCTGAAGAAAGCTCTGCCTGCCGTTCGTCCAGCCTGTCGGTCTGATATGGCGGAGAGCGGGTCGGCGGTTGAATTCTCCGGGTCTCTGACTGGCTCCACTCTTCCGCCGCCGCGGACACGCATCTTTAAAATCATCGTGATCGGGGATTCGGGGGTCGGAAAGACGTGCCTCACCTACCGCTTCTGTGCCGGCAAGTTCCCCGAGAAGACCGAGGCCACGATCGGGGTGGACTTCAGGGAGAGGCTGGTCGAGATTGACAGCGAGAAAATCAAGGTGTGCACTGACGTCACAGGTCACTGTATGAAAACCTCTGTAGATACAGTCCAGACACAGATGCAGATGTTAAGTCTGTGGTTTCTAGTGTCATAGAGATGTCTCACACCCTGTAGAGACAGTAAAAGAAGAGAGAGCAGGGGACAGATGTTTAACTGTGTGAGAAGCATCATGAAACTCCAGTGGTGGACAGCTGAGCAGCTCCACTGAGGCTTCAGTGCCTTGCTCAAGGGCATGTCAGTCATAAATAAGGGAGTGACAGGTCCTGGCCTTATTTTTCTTCTGGTCCACTGGCCTCTATGTGTAAAACCACTAAGACCATTAAGACCAGTGAGATGATCACTTTTAGTTGTAAACAGCAGTGAGCAAACAAAACCATATTAAAGGGCTGCTCTGGAGATTTACTGTTGTCCCTCAACAAAGTTGGAGCCTCACAAGAGACACGTTCAAATAAGAATAATTAAAATCAAAGTAGTTAAAGTAAACTATCTAGACTTAAAGTCTTTCGTTTGGATTAACAAAATATAACTACACATCACAGTGACACAGACCACAACAACTGTGATTGATATGCTCGGTAGCATATGAGGTGCCATCAGGGACATTATCTAGAATTATCATGTGTATATACACATATTAAACCATACTCATTCATGTACAACTACTGAAAACCTCACACACATAATGTACAAGTGAAAAGATTTTACATACACTACTGAAATCCTCTCACACAAACAACTGAGAAAGTATGAGCTTTATACACAACTGATAGGTCTCATATGTACAAACTGTTAAAACCTTTTACATACACATCTGAAACACACACACACAACTGAACACTCTCATACACACTGAAACACTCTCACAAACACAACTGAAACACTCACACACAACTGAAACAGGATGGCAGGAAAACTAAACATAAATGCTATAATGTCATGCACGAGATCACAAACACAGACGTAACTTAAGAGTTAACTCACTTACTGTACCTGTAAATGACCGTGCGTTCATTGTTTAAGTCCTGGAGTCTGGTTCTGTCTCCTCTGCAAAAGCTGTGGCGAAGTGCATTCACTGCACGACTAGTTATTACATAAAGCAGCTGTGATTTTATTATTTTTCCTTCCTTATTTCTAAATGGTTATCAGGAAACAAGCTGTTGCCCGATTTTGGTTTTCTCATTTCAAAACTCAAATTTGTTGGCCAGAAAGTACACAGACCAGGTTGTTACCATCATTATACTTCAAAATAAAAGCCTGACCTTTACAGTAAAACCAATGGAACAAACAAAAACCATGGGGTTCAACCAAAAGAGTGTTCAGTTGTGTGTGTAAGAGTGTTTCAATTGTGTATATGAGATTGTTCAGTTGTGTACGTGAGTGTTTCAGTTGTTAATGTAAAATGTTTCACTAGTTTTTATGAGAGGTTTCCAGTTGTTTTGTCTTTTTTTTTTGTACTTTTTATTTATGAATATTTATGGATATGTTTTGACAATAACTACCAGGGAACAAACATTTAGGACAAACAGACATGTGATCATTGGATGGTCACTGACAAAGGCAAATTTGCCTTATTTAAAGAAGAATATTGAGTTACAAACCATACTTATAATGAATCTCTCTCATTGGCTAAATAAACACACCATTTTTTCCATAATTTTTCCCCCAGTTCTTTTTGGAGTCGAATGGAGTAAGTCATCTATTCTAGAAGATGCAGATGGTTGACAACATTAATAAAGAGTCCAGCAGTAGGACAGTTCTTCTGAAGCCAGCATTTTGTAACAGCTTTTTTACTTGCTACCAGCATGATCTTTAAGAGATAGGTATCGTCTTTGCTTAGTCCATCAGGGATGTGTCCCAGATAGAGGTATGTGAATGATATAGTGACATCAAATACCAGGATTTTTGAGATAATTGCTGCTACACCATTCCAAAAAGGCTGGATAGATGGACAAGACCAGAAGACATGAGTCTGATCAACAATAAATCCTCCACACTCCCTCCAGCAGGGTAGCTGTGTACCAGTTTGATTAGACTTCTGTTTAGGAGTGATAAAAAAGCGAATAAGCGAATTTTTCCAGCAGAAGTCTCTCCAGGTCCGGGAGTTGGTGGAGGATGACTGTATTTTCCAAGCATGAAGCCACATGTCTTATGTGTCCATGTGTTATTTCAATGTCCAGTTCTTTTTCCCATCGTTGTTTTACATAGTCTGTGGTATCTTTGTTCAGTAATGTGATGCCATGATATAGCTTGCTTATAAGACCTTTGTTTTTTCCTGAGATGCTAGCATAAACAAATATATGAATTACAGTTGACAGTTCTCTTGGATTAGAACCTTTTTACAGAAATAATCGTGGAGCTGTAAATATCTATAAAAGTCCTGTCCTCCCAACCCCTATGTCTGACATAAATTGTCAAAACTTTTAAGCTCCCACTTGCTGACAATCTTGCATATGGAAGTCATGCCAAAATAGATCCACTGTCTGTATCTGCAGTCTAGCAAAACTGGCATGAAGTCAGGGTCATATGCTGGCCATCTAAGTAATTTAACCTCTCTTTGGAGTGGGAAGTGTTGAACTACTTCCACCCATACTTTTAGCGATAAATTCACCCAGTGACTCGACATCTGTAATATTTCCTTATGCCTGTCAACACAGGCAAGCACGGACTGTATTGACATGTCTATTAAAGATAACTCTATACTCTTCCACTTGACTACATAAGATGGGTTACACCAGAGTACACGAGGTCTCAACTGTGCCGACAAGTAATAATCCCTTAAAGATGGGAGGGCCATGCCCCCCCCTCCTCTGGCAGCCGAAGAGTAGAGAATTTCACCCTTGGTCTCGTTTTATCCTATATGAATTGGGAGATATGCTTATTCCACTCTCTAAATTGTTCCTGATGGATTTCTATTGGGAGTGATAGAAAAATATATAATAATCTAGGGAGAATGTTAATTTTAACTGATCTAATTCAGAGGGAGGGGCCAGAGGGAGCAGGCCCCACCCATTGAGGTCATCATATATTTTTTTATTAATGTTATTATAGTTAATATTGAATAACTGTGATAGATCTTTGGGTAAACTTACTCCCAAGTACTTGATGTGGGATGAGTGCCAGTTGAAACTATATTTTCTGATAAGTTCTCGAGTGGGAGTGTAATTAAATGTCAAAAGAGTTGTATGTATGTTGAGGGCATACCCTGAAAATTTAATCAGGTCTGTTTGTTTTTGAGAGAAGATCTCTGCGGATCAGTTTTTAAACAAACGCAAATTTTCCCCCAACTCTGCATTTAGTCTGCAGAATCTATCTGCCCCAGCTCTCTGTGTGTGTGTGTGTGTGTGTGTCGGCAGAGCGCTGACGTGAAACAAATAACCTGGAGATTACCCGAGTTGATGTGAACTCCACTTGTAGTTACTTTAACTAAGTGCAATAAAACCTTCGCAAGTAAAAAGCAAAACTTTATCAATACACCTGTTCAACCTGTATAACTGTTAAACTGTAGACCGCGATATTTTAATCTGCTCTGTCTGCGCCCGAGGCCTGTAAGCTCGCGAGATAGTCTAGTGAGAGGAGTAGAAGGGAGGGGAGAGTCAAATGGCTGAATGCCTAATGCCAGCTAGTGGTCGGAGGCTTAAATACAACACAAAACCACCGTCACAACTACAACAACTACTGTCACCATGTAAACTATTGATGAAATATGGATAAAGCGCTTCAAAGAATCGACATAGTATCACGGAATGAATTATCGCAATATTTTAGTGTATAGATATTTTCTTACACCGCTAGTCTGCACCGCTAGTACTTTATACTCCACTCCTCCCATAAATAAGAACAACAGGCTACCTCCCTCTGTCCTGTGATGCTGCACAGCTATGGGACAAAGGAAACAAAAAAACCCACTGAATCAAGGTTGCTATCTAACAAAGAGCCATAAAATCAACATCAACATGGGATCCTAAATTATGGGATCACTGTAAAGACAACTCCTTTTTTATTATTTACATGTTTTATAACCTTATAGGCTATTTACTGTAAACAAATCAGTCCATAGCCAATATTCTTAAGTGTTTAGCTAAAGAAGTTGATGTTCTTCTGTATTCAGTCAAGCTACCACTGTCATTGAAACTCAATTCTGTCTCTCGCCGTATTTGTTGGGCTAGGGGTTCAGTGCATAAATTGAAAAGATTAGCGTGGCAGCCCTGCCTACATCCACGTTGTAGAGTTATGGAATTAGAGAGGCTACCATTAACTTGCATTCATGCAGTAGGGGAAGAGTAAAGTGTCCAAAATATAAACACTTCACAAATGTATTCATTACTAAATACAGGAATTCCCAACCAACCGTGTCAAAGGCCTTTTCAGCATCTAAACTAAGAACAATAGAGCTGATTTTTCGTTATTAATCTGTTCGTTAACATGTAGGGCTCTCCTTATATTGTCATGGGTTTGTATGTTTTTTATGAATCCAGTTTGGTCCTCATCAATTAACAGGGGCATTACAGTGTTCATCCTCTTTGTTAAGATAGCAGCATACAATTTATAGTCTGTGTTTAAGACACTGATAGGTCTATATCCTTTGCAGTCCATCCTATCCTTTCCTTCCTTGAGGATAACCGATATAAAGGCTTGCCTCTAAGGGGGGGGGGGGGTGGCCTTCTTTTAGAATATAATTAAAACAACTTTCCAGTTAAGGGAGCAGATGCTCTCTCATGGATTTGTACCATTCGAGGGGGGGGCATCAATACCAGGCGACTTGCAAGTTTTCAAGTTTGAAATAGCTTTGTTTATATCCTCCATTGTTCATCATTAATTTCTTTACCAAGTATAGGAAGGTCTAGAGGGTTTAGAAATTCAACAATTGTGTTTCTATTGACCTGATTTGACTGTATAAAGATTTGTAATACGTTTCAAACAGTTTCTGTATACCATTCAGGCTGTTTACAAGAGGTTTCCAGTTGTGTATGTGAGCACATACTTTTTCAGTTGTACATGTAAAAGGTTTCACTAGTTTACATGAGACCCTTTCAGTTCAGTGTATGTGAGAGTATAATTTTTAAGTTTTTGTGTGAGAGGGTTTCAGTAGTGTGTGTAAAACCTTTTAACTTGTATTTGTATGAGGTTTTCGGTATAGTATGTGAATGCGTATGGTTTCATATGTATATGCATGGCAATTGTAGATAATGTCCCTGACAGCCCCGCATACTAGATAATGTTCCTGACAGCCCCTCATAGTAGCATGTCTCGTCCATGCCACTCAATCAGCTCAATCAAAAATCCTCTATTACTAAGATACATTACAATCGGTGCCAGTGGTATGAAATATACTACACTTCCTGTCTCCTAGGTAGCAACCACCTGAGTTGCTGATATGAAATGTGACAGTAGCTGATATTAATATCTATATAATCTACAGAATGCATCTTTTGGGAAAGAAAAGACGTACATTTTTCCTGTTATTACAGCTTGTTGCTGGACAAAGCTTTGGGGATTTTTTAACAATGATAAATATCTTGTCCATGTCTAAACAGCACAAAACATTACAACACACAACAATATATCATTACATACCGTACAAAATTGTGCTTGATTTGCCACAGGTTTTATCTGATCAACTCAGTACGAGATCATATCAGTATGATGATACTACAGTATCATTAAAAGTTAAGCAGTTCAATAATAATAATGATAATAATAATAATAATGATAATTATAATAATAATAATAATGGTATTGTTAAGCAAAGAAACACAAGTTTTATTTCAGTTGTAATTTTTAATTCATGGTTCACATATAAGTCCCTCTAATCTTCTGTTTGTCTGGTTTTAAAGCGACATCATCAGCTCTACTGCAGCAGTGAAGCAAGAACAAAAAGAAGTAGGGTTTTGTGTTGACAGATCTCAGGAGAGTTTATTGCGGAGACAGAAACAGGTCTCAAATAAAGTTATTTTTCTCTTGATTTGTCATTACATTTTAGTGTCTGGAATATCTGTGGCTTGTGAAAAAAAACAATTATAATATTGATTTATTTAGTTAACTGTCGAAAGAATCATTATCTGTCATCACATTTACTTCTCCTGTTGTAGTGAATAGACTCAGACCTGCTGTTAGTCTCCTGAAGGGGTGGGGCAGTGTCAAAACCCATGACACAGATACAGGAAGCGATTGTCGCTGTCTTCTTTCTCAACTGTAGAGACAGAAGATGGCAGACAGAAGATGGCAGAAAAGATGCTGTGTACAACCAGAGTTGTGGCTCATTGGTGTATTTTCATTAGTTTTTGGCCAACAGTGGAGCTCTGTGGTACAGGCTGCGGTGGCCCCTAGTTGTGCGTATTAGTTGTCTTGTCTCTGTGCGGGTAGGCGGGGCTGCTCACAGAAGGGGTTCCTGGGCCTGACACTCCCAGCCACTCTGAAATCTCTGCCCTCTGGAAAACTCTTTTCCAATGTGTTACTATTTGTTTCTATTACTATTTTATCTCCAGCACCCACACAATGCATACTACATGACTGATGCCACTGATCTTCATATCCATTCCTTCTTGTGGGTTCATTTTATTTGCCATGACCTGAGAGCCAGTTTTGACAAAGCAATAAGACAGATCAGGCTTCAATACACACACACACTACTTGATAGTAGAATTCATTCATCATTGGTTTGGGTCTTCCAGTGAGATTTGATCCATTTCCACTTTGACCTCCACAGATCCAGCTGTGGGACACTGCAGGCCAGGAACGCTTCAGGAAGTCCATGGTGCAGCACTACTACCGCAACGTGCACGCTGTTGTCTTTGTCTATGATGTCACCAATGCCGCTAGCTTCCGCAGCCTCCCTGCCTGGATTGAGGAGTGCAAGCAGCACGCTCTGGGCACAGAGGTCCCCAGGATCCTGGTTGGAAACAAGTGTGACCTCCAAGACTCCATACAGGTGGGCACAGACGTGGCACAGCAGTTTGCAGACGCTCACTCCATGCCCGTGTTCGAGACATCTGCTAAAAACCCAAACAGCCAAGGAGATGGAAGCCACGGCAGTGGAAACAGTGACCATGTGGAGGCCATCTTTATGACGGTGGCCCACAAGCTGAAGTCTCAGAAGCCTCTGGTGTTGAGCCAGCCGCCCGGGGGATCAGGGGGCACCATCAACCTGAGCAGGGGGGTACATGATGGGGGTGATGGGACCAGGAGCTGGGGCTGCAGCAGCTGCTGAAGGAGGAACATGGAGGAAAAAAGGGAGACCACTTCAGCTCCAGGCTGCATGAGGCCAATGAAAGTGAAATTGGATGGAGCTGAGGAAAGAAAGGAGGTCTAGAGAGAAATAGTGGATCGAGGAAAAATGGCTTCACAATCAGAACAGCACATAGATGAATGTCTCCATTTGAAGATGATCCATTTTTCCAATGCTTGGGCTTGATTTACATAAATGGCTTTCAATGGTTTTGGGCAGTTCTTAGTGTGATTGTTGTTTTGAATGCCAAAATCTACTGTTGGTTCATGGAACCAACTGAATAAGTAGCCAAAAATTTGATTCTGTTCTGTCAGTCCTGAGCCTGCACCACCCAAGTTTCAGGTCAGTTATATTCATGTGGTCATGGAAACACATTTAGACGATAGATTGTGTGTTGTAACCTAACACACAATCTGTGACATTGTTTTAGGCCATAGTTTGTGCTAATGTATGACCGACTGCATCATATGGAAAGGTGTGCTGAGCTGAGCCCTCGTGTCATCACTACAGAACACAACGCACAATGGTTGGTTGGAGTCCATCTGGTTTTAATTCTAACATTTCATTACAGGTGCCCTGTAAACAAAGAGCTGTGTTTACATTCAGTAACACACTGAGTGCAGTTCCATCTTTGAAAATATTAGCATATTGTAAATATTGTTGAAACCTGTGTTGTAACACTTTGTTTGCTAGCTAGCAGTCTTTCCTGCCTCTGCTAACACATTGCTAAATTTCTTAGCATGTTGACCACATTGTTGACACACTAAACACAATATAGGTTCTTTTCAACAATAATGTTGAAATCCCTGATGAGAACCTATAATGTGTTACAGTGGGTATGGAAAGTATTCAGACCCCTTTAAATTTTTCACTCTTTATTTCATTGCAGCCATTTGCTAAAATCAAAAAAGTTCATTTTATTTCTCATTAATGTACACTCAGCACCCCATCTTGACAGAAAAAAAACAGACATGTAGAAATTTTTGAAAATTTATTAAAAAAGAAAAACTGAAATATCACCTGGTCATAAGTATTCAGACCCTTTGCTCAGTATTGAGTAGAAGCACCCTTTTGAGCTAGTACAGCCATGAGTCTTCTTGGGAATGATGCAACAAGTTTTTCACACCTGGATTTGAGGATCCTCTGCTATTCTTCCTTGCAGATCCTCTCCAGTTCTGTTAGGTTGGATGGTGAACATTGGTGGACAGCCATTTTCAGGTCTCTCCAGAGATGCTCGATTGGGTTTAGGTCAGGGCTCTGGCTGGGCCAGTCAAGAATGGTCACAGAGTTGTTCTGAAGCCACTCCTTTGTTATTTTAGCTGTGTGCTTAGGGTCATTGTCTTGTTGGAAGGTGAACCTTCGGCCCAGTCTGAGGTCCTGAGCACTCTGGAAGAGGTTTTCTTCCAGGATATCTCTGTACTTGGCCGCATTCATCTTTCCTTCAATTGCAACCAGTCGTCCTGTCCCTGCAGCTGAAAAACACCCCCATAGCATGATGCTGCCACCACCATGTTTCACTGTTGGGATTGTATTGGGCAGGTGATGAGCAGTGCGTGGTTTTCTCCACACATACCGCTTAGAATTAACGCCAAAAAGTTCAATCTTGGTCTCATCAGACCAGAGAATCTTATTTCTCATAGTCTGGGAGTCCTTCATGTGTTTTTTGGCAAACTCTATGTGGGCTTTCATATGTCTTGCACTTGGGAGAGGCTTCCGTCGGGCCACTCTGCCATAAAGCCCAGACTGGTGGAGGGCTGCAGTGATAGTTGACTTTGTGGAACTTTCTCCCATCTCCCTACTGCATCTCTGGAGCTCAGCCACAGTGATCTTTGGGTTCTTCTTTACCTCTCTCACCAAGGCTCTTCTCCCACGATTGCTCAGTTTGGCTGGACGGCCAGGTGTAGGAAGAGTTCTGGTCATCCCAAACTTCTTCCATTTAAGGATTATGGAGGCCACTGTGCTCTTAGGAACCTTGAGTGCTGCAGAAATTCTTTTGTAACCTTGGCCAGATCTGTGCCTTGCCACAATTCTGTCTCTGAGCTCCTTGGGCAGTTCCTTCGACCTCATGATTCTCACTTGCTCTGACATGCACTGTGAGCTGTAAGGTCTTATATAGACAGGTGTGTGCCTTTCCTAATCAAGTCCAATCAGTTTAATTAAACACAGCTGGACTCCAATGAAGGAGTAGAACTATCTCAAGGAGGATCAGAAGAAATAGACAGCATGTGAGTTAAATATGAGTGTCACAGCAAAGGGTCTGAATACTTATGACCATGTGATATTTCAGTTTTTCTTTTTTAATAAATTTGCAAAAATTTCTACATTTCTGTTTTTTTCTGTCAAGATGGGGTGCTGAGTGTACATTAATGAGAAATAAAACAAACTTTTTTGATTTTAGCAAATGGCTGCAATGAAACAAAGAGTGGAAAATTTAAAGGGGTCTGAATACTTTCCGTACCCACTGTATAATGAGTGTGAGGATGACAATGGGACCTGTTCCACAGTGGCCACCACAGGGTGCCTTTAAGTGTGGCTGCTTTAATACCTAACCAGTTTAGCGACGATGGTTCACTTCTTACCAGGGTAAATCACCATGGTAACTTACGCTGAGCTCCTAACCTGCTCCGGCGCAGGTTAACTTCAGAGGATCAACAGCTGATCAACTACTGACCAATCAGATACCTCGAAATCATAATTCCTACAGGAATCCTGCAGGTCAAACTAAAAGTTATCCTGGGTATGTTAAACTTGCTTCATAGTACAGGCCTCAGGTTTAGGTTCTATATTAACTCTGTGAAAGTATCAAAGCGCTCAGTACACAGAGCAATGCAAACAGCCTGTATTCAGAAGAGCTTAAAACAAGCCATCAGAATTTCTGGAATTTTGTAATGTCACAACAAGGTGGTCACTGCTTTCAGCACTGCCCTTTTTGACCAAGCGGTCATTCTGTTGCTGAGCTATCAGCTACGAGACACTGCACCGTCATTGGAGGTCAGGAAGCAATTATGTCACTGCACAGACTTCAGAAGGATAGAAATATTAGAAACCAATTTACCCCACAGCGTTTGGCTCACTCTGCCCCATAGCCGCCATTTTGGAAAAAAACTAGCTATCTTACCAATTCAGGCTCATATTTAGCTAAATAATTTGCATCGTATTATACATTGGCAAATCACCAACATGCATCATAAATATTTTTAGACCCAGATAAATTTGCTTTGATGTAGCAGCCATTACATCTGATATGCTAAAAATTTACTTTGACAACCCAAAAACAGATTTTAAAGTAAAGCAGTGCTTACTACTCCTCCCATGTGCTTCTCCTTTTCACAGTCTGGCAGAAATTATGCGTGGTTCCAAAATGTATGGTCACATTGTTATGTGGTAAAAGTGCACGGTTGCCAAGATACAGGGGGTGGGTCAACTTACCCACTGGCTCATCTTACCCCACTCTCCCCTACTTTTAATCAGATTACCAGAAACCAGTTGCATTGACCCAGTGAACCTCGGGCCTTCGGGGCCCCTGCTGCAACTGCCTGTTTTGCTGTGGTTAATAATTCAGGGTTGAGTAAGATTGATTCAGCTGAAAAGATGTTTCATCTGATTTGGTTTGGTCCAATCAGGTCAAGCCGTGTCATTATTGTGGGCTGGCCCAGGAGAGGTTCAAATGTGAGAAATAAAAAATCACTGTAACAGATTAATAGCTAATGGTAGTTCCACCTTACATTACCAAAGCTTAAGTGATGAGTGAAAACCCTTCGTCTTTGGCCAACGCCACTGTTTCTCAAGACTAGTTTATTTACAGTTCCTGAGTCATTCAGGAGACAAAAATTCAAATCATTGCATCCCCAGTCAGCTCTAGCCAATCAGTATTCATCATTTCAACCAATTCACTACCTACACACTGCGCTGTTATTGTTAATGACTGAGGTTGGTTCCCCCAACAGAAAGCAGCAGGAAAGCTTAAAGCAGCTATATGTAAGTTTTGCTATTTTGCTACATAGTTAACATTAGCATTACCATCTGTTTACTTACCCGTCGAGAAGAAACGTTGAGAGTTCAGCATCAAACTTCATTCCTTTGCTCACCAACAGCTGTCTCCAGAGGTGGAAACAAACACCAGTGTTAACTATCATGTCTTTTCTTCTACTGAAGTTAGCATGCTAACCAGCTAGCCCTGGCCCATCTCCTCACTATAGCCTCAAGTCTGTCATTAAGACGTAGCTGTTCAGAGGATCTCTTATATTATAAAGACAATGATGGCTGAAGTTCTTGTCAGCTTCCACCTGCTCCTGACAAGAAACCAAAAGAAACAGCCTTTTTAATGCAGCTTTAATCTATATTTTAATGATGATTATGTGAGAGGAGTTTGTGGTAGTGATGAACCTACAGACAATTATCACAGTCTGCAGCTCCCCTCAGCTTCACCGAGCTTCATAGTGAGTTTCAGCTCATATGTTCAGACATAACCATACTGGTCTGGTTCACTCTCATGGCCTCGTTTTCAACTGTAAACAGCCTCTGTCTTCTAACTGCTCATCATACAAATAGCAGACAGACTAAAGAAAGCTAAGGAGGAGCTGGTGACCAAACATGGAGCTAAAAGAGAGGGAATACTGTACTGTACTGTAGATTCATCAGGAGATACACATGAATCATCTATCATCGATAACAGCTGGATGTGGAAATAAACAGCTGTATGACCACAAGTCGAACATAAGAACTTAAAATGTGATGACATGTCGTGTTTTCACTGCCTCCAAGTGATTGCAGGTTTAAATGAAGACACCTTGTTTTGAGTGACAGTACCTGTTAGCATCCAGCACCAGAGCTAACTCTGCATACTGGCAGCATGTGATGTTGTTATGTAACACTTCAGAATTAAGAGTACTCCTTTAAACCACATCAGTCCCCCTGTAAGCCTTTGTAGGCTTATAGAACACTGAAAACGCTTTGCAGTACAAGCCACATTCACTCACACATTCAACAGCCATCACAGGCAATCTGGGCTTAAGTATCTTTCCCAAGGACACTTCAACATGCGGACTGGAGGAGCCGGGGATCAAACCACTTACCTTCTGATTAGTGAACAAGTTGCCCCCCACACACACGAACAGGCTGTTGGATAATATAATTCTGTGTAGGTGAGCACAGACAGTGCCCACAGTGTGAGGGTTTGTGGTATGCACCTGTTCATGTACAAGCCTGTACCCACCCCTCAGCCTGTGTGTAAACTTGTGATACAATGTTTGGCATGTGTGTTGTATGATAAAAGCTGTTGCCATGACACCTCAGTCTGTTAGTGTGCAGCTCTGTCTCTGTGGTCATGGATGGTTGTCATGGCCACATCTGGTCTCCTGGCTCCTCTGCTGGTTACACTCTATCTTTACATCTTCTTGAAGGATGTGGACCATTGATCAAACCAAAAGGCCTTCTCTCAGGACTCACTATTCAAAGGCTGTCCATGCAGGATGGAGGACTGTGTGTGACGACAGAGGATGACGTCATGTTTTAGATTTTGGTTTCTGTTCTTTAAGTGTCCTTTGTTTTTGATACCCGCACACTGGACTGGGTCTTGTCATTTCATTTCACTATAGCCATGAACCACAAACACTGCTACTGTACCTCTCATTGCAAACGCTGAAAGAAAAACATCAATGACAGAATAGTATTAATTCACAAAGTGACTAATGAACGAAACTACAAGTGGAAGAGGGAAACGCCTGCAATGGTTTTGTCATGTGTAGCCTTGCAATAAACTTCCCTCAATATGTCACACTGGAGTTGTCTCTCTTTAGAAATCACTTCAGTCACATTTATTTATTTATTAAATGCATAAAATGTACAAAGATTTATGAATTAGAACAAACAACATCTCAGTCCTGATGTTGGTCTTATACAGATATTCAGCTTTGGCAAGATTTGAATGAAATCTTGAGTCCCCTCCCCGACTAAGTGTGTCAGGTCAGTCTGATGTACGGAGGCAGTTTAGAGGGCCTCTCCTCTTCCTCAGTGGGGCCTTGGTCAGTGGACTGAGCTGGAGAGTTGAAGAGTGTGTCATCATCACCACCTGCTGGACACAGAGGAGAATTACATCACAGACTGTTACAGAAAAAGGCAAGTATTTCCTTTTTTTTTGGCCTGGATCACTTTTTTTTCTTCATCTGTTAAAACTACAACAGAGAATTAATCAAAAAAATCTGAAATTTCAAGTATAAAGTCATAATATTACAAGAATAAAATTATATTTTTAAATGAAAAAAAGTCAATATTAAGAGCATAAAGTCGTAATTTTAGGTTGCGTGTTGTTTTAGAGGGGAAATATCAGAAGCTTTAAAATGAGGAATGTGGTGCATCCTGTTTAGTTCTATTTTAGCATAGGTTTCACAAATAAGGAGATAATCCATCTTCTGGCTCATTAGCATAAGTGTGCTGTTACAACTCTTAAAGTTGCAGTGTATTAGTATTTTTTCCGCCACCTTTGGTAGATTTCGGTATAGGTTTCAGATGTCATGACACGACACAGGAAGTGATAGTCAGTGACAGGAAGTATGTGTGTTTACATTTGCTTTGACGTGGATGGACATCTCAACAATCTGTAAGCATCTGCTGTCATCCCTTATCTCTCATGTCATCGTCTGTACGTATTACTCTTAAGTTATTGTTTATCTTATGTTATAGTTGGAAAGTTTATTATTTATATACTACATTTGATAAATATGAAAGAACATTCTTTAATTTTAAATTCATGTTTTTATTGTAGTTTCACAATTTCAAATGTCATTAAAACCTGTGGACATCAGTAACGTCTCCAGAGTCATGATGTGAGAAGAATGTTGAAACTTAATGCTTATGCTTAAGAAGTGGGAAAGGCAGTACAGTGAAAAGATGGCACTCTACAGACAAAGCAGTTAATGAGATTGTGGTAACTGGCATCACCATCAACAACTAGTGTGGCTGAAAATACATAAGTGTGAAATTAACTCACCTGCATAATGGAGGAAAAACTATATACTGTGAAGACTAGGTCTGTGAAGACTAGGTCTCATGCTTCTCGGTCAACACGACTGCTGCAGCAGCTAGGGCTAAAGCTGAAGCTGCCAAAACATGTTTGAAATTTACTGAGAAGGAGCTCAAATTGAAAATGGAGAAAGCTCCGCTAGAGGCTTCGATAGAGATGCTGGCTATAGAAAAGGAAATTGCTGTAGCTGAGGAAAAGGCAGAGGCACTAGAGGCAACAGTCGCCACCAATGAAAAAAGACACAGCTGTAGACTCCCATTCATATCACTGCCATTTGACTCTGCTCAATGCACACAAGATTATGTGAAGGAGCAAGCCAAAGTATGTGAGGTAAGAAAGTCAGCACAATAAGAGGATCCATCCTTTCAGGACAAGGCAAAGCCACCTATGGTCCAGGCTGTACACGGCCCATGTCTCAGTACTGAAAGCACTATCCCCACTGCTGCTAACACTCACATTCATCACACTCCTTCTCACATTCCAAGTAAACATAAATCTCCTAACCCTTTTCTCACTCCAAACATGGATCGCACTCCAGCTCAATAAAACCAGCCTTCTCATGGTGTAACTTTCAATGACACTGATGAAGAATATTGGCAGTCCTCTCCTCATGGCCAACCAACACATCATAACGACATCAATGTTACACCTTTCCGCCCTGACATTTATGGTGAGCAGCCCACTCATGCTACTGATTCCCACATGTCAGACTTTGTAAGATTTCTAGCACAACGCGAGCTCATCACCACAGGCCTGCTGCAATTTAACAACCAGCCAGAGAGCAACCGAGCTTGGCGGTGTTCATTCCTGAATGCAATAAGAGGCCTGGATCTAACGTACAATGAAGAAATTGATCTTCTCGTTAAATGGCTGGGAAAAGAGTCAGCTGAGCATGCTAAGCACATTAGAGCCGTCCACATAAACCAGCCAGCAAAAGGGCTGAAGATGCTATGGAACATACTGGACGAATGTTATGGCTCAGCTGAAGCAATTGAGAAAGCTTTGTTTCAGAAACTAGATAGCTTCCCCAAAATCAGCAACAACAGGGATTTTTTTTTTTAAGTTATATTTTTTGGCTTTTTATGTCTTTATTGATAGTGCAGTAGAGAGAGACAGGAAATGGGGAGGCAGAGAGAGGGGGAATGACATGCAGCGAAGGCTGTCCGATGCGGGACTCGAACCGGGGCTGACTGCGGCGAGGACTATAGCCTCTACACATGGGGCACCTGCTTAGACCACTACGCCACACGACGCCCCAACAACAGGGATTTTAGTGATCTACTGATGGAGCTGGATGCTACCAGGGCCGAGGGAGACCTTCCTGGCTAGAGGTATTAACCCCATAGTTCAAAAGCTCCCATACAGCCTACAGAAAAAGGGGCTATCTTATGGATCCAGCTACAAACGCGAACACAGGTTGCATTTCCCCCCTTTTCTGTCTTTGTCGTCTTCCTCCAACAGCAAGTGTGGATCAGAAATTATCCTAGTTTCATGCTTACAGGCCAAACAGACCCCAGCAAATAAATATACGAGGTCTCTGTCCACAAAACAGAAATGTCTGCAGCTGCCCGCTCAGACCAAGACAAAGAAAGAAAGCAGATGAGCCTGAGATGAGATGTCCCATTCACAAAAAAACACATTCTCTACAAAAGTGCAGGGCATTTCGCGCAAAACCCATATAGGAACGAAAGAACTTCCTCAAAAAGAACGGCTTCTGTTTCAAGTGTTGTATGTCCACATCACACACCGCCAGAGAGTGTCAATGCACTGTGAAATGCACTGAATGTGATAGTGGACCATCCAGGACCAGCACCGTGGGTCAATGTGTCAGTACCCTCTTCAGGGCATGGCGGGGAGCCAGACCCCACACAAACCCCAGAGATCACAACTCAGTGCACACAGGTCTGTGGAGGAGATCTCATTGACAGGTCCTGCTCAAAGATTCTCTCAGTTAAAGTTTACCCTGCCAGTCGCCATGACAAAGCGATGAAAGTATATGTTATCCTGGATGAACAAAGAAACAGATCTTTGGCTCGCTCTGAATTCTTTGACACCTTCAAAATCCAACGCCCCACCGTGTCATACTCTCTGAAGACCTGCTCGAGCGCAACTGAGAACATGGGTAGGATGGCCTCAGGCTTGTACATAGATCGTCCAACCAACTTTAAACCCTGTCCTAGTATTCTTAACGTGAAAGAGAAATACGGCCCCAGACCATCAGAGCTACCTGTCGCATGCCTTGCCTGTGATGGAGATCCTACTTTCCTAGGCCACACAGTGTTCCAGCTGACCAGCTTTGACAATAAGTTGGGTCTGTCCATTGACGACCTCACCTTCACCTCAATAATGGAAGAGGACCTCAAGAAAGATGATAGTAACAGCTGGATAGCTCCTTTGCCTTTCAGACAGCTACAACAACGGCTCCCTAATAAACCCCAGGCCCTCAAGTGCTTCTCCTCTCTTAAACAAAGCCTTGAGAGGAAGATATTTGAGAATTGACATGCTGAGGCTGCCCCTCCCCTCGAGGAAAATGAGGAACGGTGGTACCTTTGGTGTGTACCATCCAAGAAAGCCTGGCAACATCTGCGTGGTGTTTGATTCCAGCACCCGATATGATGGAGTGTCTCTCAAAGACGTCCTCTTAACAGGGCCTGACCTCAATAACACCCTCTTGGGAGTTCAGATTCCACAGAGAAGCCATCACTGTCACAGCAGATATTCAGCAGATGTTCCACTGCTTCCATGTGAAGGAACAAAATAGGAACTTCTTGTGCTTCTCATGGTTCGAGACAACGATCCAGCCCAAGACCTCATTGAATATCGTGTGACCATGCATGTCTTTGGGAACAGTCCCAGTCCAGCATTTGCCATCTACTGCCTCAGGCAGTCTGTGAAGGAATGAGAACCACATTATGATCCTGAGGTGAAGCAGTTTGTCAACTGTGACTTCTATTTCAATGACAGGCTGAAGTCATTGTCTGCTGAAGAGGACCCAAGACATTCTTGAAAACTCCAACCTGAGGTTGCACAAAATTGCCTCTAACAACCAAGAGGTTATGTATGCTTTCTCACCTCAAAATCACGCCAATCACCTAAAGACTTGGACCTCAGCCCAGATAATCCTCCAGTAGAGCACAGCCTGGGCCTGAATTGGGATCTTGTGTCTGACGCGTTCACCTTTAAAGTCAACATTAAAGAGAAGCCTTTTACACGCTGTGGCATCCTCTCAGGAGTGAACAGCCTGTATGACTTGATAGGATTTTTGACTCCTGTCACCATCCAAGGCAAACACATCCTAAAAGAACTCTCCCAAGGGAAAAGTGACTGGGATTCGCCATTGCCAGAGGAGATGGAAGTGGACATCCTGGAGACCTTATACCAAGGTTTATCCCTCTGCAGCAAAGAGGAGAGAACTATGCATCTTTTCAGACGCATCAACAAAGGCTGTAGCAGCAGTTGCTTACCTTATGGTGATCGATGAAAATGGAAACTGCCACACAGGTTTTGTCATGTGCAAGGCAAAACTGGCTCCCCGGCCTGAACACACAATCCCAAGGTTAGAGCTCTGCGCTGCTGTGCTGGCAGTAGAGTTAGCAGATCTTATTTAATCTGAGTTTGACATGCAGATAGATGCCACAACCTTCTACACTGATACACAAGTGGTGCTGGGATATATATATGAGACAAGACGTTTCTACATGTACGTGTCACACATATACAAAGATCATCTCATCTGCAGCAATGGAAGTATGTATCCACAGACCAAAATCCAAGACTATGGAACCAGATCAGTCATTGCTGCCTGTCTGTTAGATAACATGTGGCTCAGTGGACCTACTCTCCTGAAGCAAGATTCTGAAAGAAAACCTGACACCTTTGAGCTTGTCGACCTAAGCGTGGATGCTGAAGTACACACTGATGGCAGAAGTGGCAGCCATTATCAATGCTAGACCTTTCATACCTGTATCTACTGACCCAAGTGACCCTTACTTATGCCACGCTCTTGACTCGGCAAGTGAGCGTCCCCTCAGCTCCTTTTGACAATTCTGGAAAAAAAGACATCTTCAAACAACAATAGCGCCAAATACAGCACCTGGCCGAAACCTTCTGGAGCAGATGGTTTGGGCCAGAAGGTTACCTCTCTTCACTGCAGACGAGGAAGTGGCAGACCGCTCAGCCTAACATGGAGCCTGGAAGCATTGTGCTTCTCAAAGATCAGCAGATGTCAAGGAATGAATGGGATTAGTCACCCAGGTCTTCCCCAGCAAGGACAACAAAGTGCACAAGGCAGAGATTAAGGTCTCCCGGAAAGATGGGACTAAAGTGTTTTTTAGACCTGTGTCAGAAATAGTTCTTCTTCTACCTCCCAAGTAGAAGTATGTAACACCTCTAGTTCATTGTTAAAGTATTAGTAGTGGCATTCAATCATGCCATGCGGGGAGTGTGCTGTGACAACTCTTAAAGCTGCAGTGTATTAGTGTTTTTTCTGCCACCTCAGCTCAGGCTGCCACTGACCTTTCACCTGTTTAATTGGTTGCTGGTAATATTCCTAAATTTTCCTTGAAATTTTTAATTTTTAATTCTCGAAATATTACAACTTTATTCTTGTAATTTCAGATTTCCTTTTTTTTCCATCAATGTGGCTCTAATACTCCATTGTAGAAAACAACCCCTGAGAGGCAAGTGGATAGTGATTTTCTTTTTCTGGGAAGAAAAAGAAAAAAAAACAAAGTATGCACTACTGATTTTTATTATTTTTTTGTTGTTTTTTGTGTTATTTTTCAAATTAAATCTGTGAAAACAATCCCCATGAGGCAAGTGAAAAAAAAAATTCTTCCTTCCAGGAATAAAAAATCCACTTGACTCTCAGGGGTTGTTTATACAGATGAAAAAAAAAAGTAAAAAAAAAGAGATAAGTTTGATGTCAAATTACCTCTCCTGGTACACACCATCTCCGTGTCCCCAGGGTCACATTGAGGAACAAGTGTCTCCTATAACACACACACACAGACACACACACAGTCGGTGAGACAGAATGGTCAGTTCATTAAAAAAATAATGTCACATCCTTGGAGATAATAATCAGTCAATCAAAAAGCCTTGTTTAGTAGAGTAGAAATTGACTGACTAATTCTGACACCAGTGAATTCAGTCTCTACTAAACCCCTTCTTCTAACTGCTGTTTCAACTGTCCAGTCTAACTGTCAGAGAGTATGTCAGGCCTCACGCTAATCTAACATCCCCTCCAAGGAAATGGACCTATCAGATAATAACTACATGATTTCATAGGGTCACAGATTACGTTAGGAAGAGAGATCCATGCAGAACTGAAGCAGGACCTTGATGATACTGTATCAGAATTTTGGGAAACATTAGTGGCTCTGTCCTGCTTTTCATTACCTCTACCAAAAAGAGGTTGTGTTTTCACCTGTCTGTTTGTCAGCAGGAGGACACTTTCAGTTCTGAACTGATTAGCACCAAACTTGATGGAGAGAGCGGTCCTGATCCAGGGAGGAATCTGTTAAATTTTGGTGCCGAACCAGTTCAAAGGAGCATTCAGGAATTTTGTGAGACAGAACATTTTTCTACATTTTCATCAGTTTCTCAGGAAATAATGTTGGAATCTTTGGACATATTTATGTTGCTGATCTATAAGTTTGTACAGTTTGGTTCAGGTCCAGATAGTAATCTGGATCTGGTGGAAGAGCATGTTGAAATCCACCTTACACACAGAGTTGTACTTATTAATAGTAAAGAAAAGCACATACGGCAGTATCAGTATCTCCTTCAACATACATCTAATACAGATACACAACAACAATGGTTGTGACACAGCAGTAAGACAATTCATATAGGTGTAGAGCTGTGTGACCTGTATAATGCTGATGTCATCATTTCACACAACAGGTAATAAACCATTGACCAGCTATTAGGCATGAGAATTAAAAATGATGAATGAATAAAGTTTTACTTGAGAACAAAAGGCAACAATCTCAAGTTTTACTTGAGAACAAAAGGAAGCAATCGTTTGGCTGGTGGAGGTCTGTGCTCTACTCAGTGATGTTCTAATGGGTGTTTATACTGGGTGTTTATACTCATGAGCCTGAGATGGCATTGTATTTGAAAAACTCATTGGTTAGTCCTCATCATGTAAATGCCTCTTGTAAAAGTGAAACACACAGTGTGAAAATAACAATCATCCCTCACTGTAACCTCACTGTTTGTCCAATATGTGTTTAAAGTTACAGTACAGTAAGCAACTGAACAGGACTACACAACAGAGCTCTACTGTGGTTTCATCTGTCCATAGAACATTATCCCAAAACACTGTGGCTTAAGTTTCTTCAAACATTAGTCTTGTCTTCTTGTTACCTTCCTTCAGTCGTGGTTTCTACTTGACAGGGATTTCATAACTTTTGTTCTGTTTTTGATTAAAGTATTTATGATACTGTCTTCACCATTGTGAAAAACAAACTGGACACAATCATCCCCTTAATTGGTTAATTCAGGTCATGTGACCACTGAAACTTCAGCACCCATTTTCAGTGTTAATCATTTCATTCTTGGTGTCTACTAAAATAGATTTACATGCTTTAATGTTCTGAAAAGACACCAGTCACCATGGTAACTCACGCTGAACTCCTAACCTGCTCCAGCAGGTTTACTTAGAGGATCAGATGAAAACTTGTCAACAAACTACTGACCAATCAGATACCTGGAAAAACTGAGTCATCATTCCCATATGATCCTGACGGGAACAAAAGACTTTACAATTAAGTGATAAATAATAACGAGTTTTGCTGTTCCAGACATCACATGCATTGCACTCTGGTTTTAAAACAGACCTTGAATGGAGAGTTTATCACTCTAAATAAATATATCATAACTATTATAGCTTCATTTTAGATTGAACAAATATTCTTTAATCTGGCAGGATTCCTGACAGTGTTGATGCTTTTACTCTCTTCTTCATCACTGCAGCCCAGAATAACATGAGGAGACTCTGTGGCCAGAACTGGAAATAAAAACTAAACCTCTGATGTCTTTGATTAGAACAATGATCCACACACTGATGAATATTTCCCATGATTACAAATTTGATTTTTAATTTTTAAACATTTCAGTCAGACTGACTCACCAGACATCGACTACCTCTCTCCTCTTTTCTTTCTCTCCTCTCTGCAGCATTAACAGTCTGACATTAACTTAAACTGTTTTATCTGCATCCACTCTTTTGTCTGATGATGAACAAACTTATGAACGTTTGTTCAAGATCAGACAAAAGATTGGACATACTCAGTAAGAAACTTAATGATAATTCATGCACTTTTTTACAATATAATTATATTTTATAACCGAATTTACAGGTAGGTATCTATGACCGGCCATCAGGGACATTATCTAGAATTACCATGCATATGAAACCATACTCATTCACATACTATACTGAAAACCTCACACACATACAAGTGAAAAGATTTTACACACACTACTGAAATCCTGTCACACAAACAACTGAAAAAGCATGCACTCACATACACAACTGGAAACCTCTCATATGCAAAACTGAAACACTCTCATATACACAACTGAAGCACTCTCACACACACAACTGAAACACTCTCACACATACACAACTGAACAGTCTCATATAGATAGCTGAAACCTTTAACATATACAACTGAAACACTCACACACAACTGAACACTCATACATAACTGAAACACTCTCACACACACAATTGAAGCCTTCTCACACACACAAGTGAACACTCTCACCCTGGGGTTACCTGTCCGGCTACAAGCGTGTTCATGTGAAAGAGGCAGAGTTGTTAATTACACTACTCACAATAAGTTAGGGATATTGTGAGAGACTCAGTGGATTTCATACATACGGTGTTTGTTTCACTTCAGAGATTTTTGGGATAGGGAGGCAATTGTATTGGGGTGATAGACACACCTCATTTTGTGTTTTCCACGTAATGGTCTCACTGTGTACAGTGTGCCTCACATATTGGGGCCAATACCAAAAAACTAAAAGACAACCCTTTTCAATGTGGCATCAATTTCAACATTCTGTGGGTATAAAAAGCTGGTATTGTCAGTAAGTCATTCCAAGTTCATCATTCAAACAGCCATGAACACACGACGTCACTTAACGGACGAGCAGCGCCACCTGGCCATAGCGCGCCTTCGGGTCGGTGGCAGGCAGTCAGATGTTGCTCGTGAACTTGGTGTGTCTCAAAGTGTCATCAGCAGACTTGCATCAAGACACAGAACTACTGGCAGAGTTCGTGACAGACCCAGGAGTGACAGACCGCAACGATGACCAGTACCTAAGGACCTATGCACTCAGACATCGTTATGCAACTGCCACACAGCTGCAGGCCCATTTATGAGATGTGAGGGGTACTAGGGTTTCCAGACAAACCATTCGCAACCGACTCCACCGCTTTGGCTTGAATGCCAGACAACCGTTGCAGGTGACTCCACTGACACCAAGACACCGCTGTGAACGTTTGCAGTGGGCACAAGACCATTGTCCAGGTCACCATGTGACCTGGACAATGCAGCAGTGGTCTACCGTCCTGTTCACTGATGAGTGTCGGGTCACCTTGCACAGAAATGATGGTCGTCAGCGTTGCTGGAGAAGGCGAGGTGAGCGATACGCCGAGGTCAACATGGTCCCCATGGTTCGCTTTGATGGAGGAGGTGCAACAGTCTGGGCAGGCATCACCAGTCAGCGCAAAACAGATTTGGTTATTGTAGATGGCTCAGTCACTGCACGTTCTTACCTCAGAGACATCATAGAACCCATCATCATCCCCCAATTCCGCCAGCACACCCACAACTTTCTGTTCATGGATGATAATGCTCCACCACATCGTGCCAGAATTGCCACAGCTCGACTTCAGGAAGTCGGAGTGCCTCATATGGTATGGCCAGCAATGTCCCCTGACCTGAACCCCATAGAGCACGTCTGGGACCAGCTGAAGCAGAGACTGGATGATCGTACTCCACCCCCACGTGACCTGGCAGAACTGCGTGTAGCACTTGTGGAAGAGTGGAACGCATTGCCTCAGAACAACATCATGAGGCTAGTGAGGAGCATGAGACATCGCTGTCAAGCCGTCATTGCGGCAAATGGTGGAAACACCTGCTACTGACATTGTCAATTTTTGTTATTTGGGGCTATCCTTGTTATTGTCTAAATTTTTGGGGTAATAAATATTAAACTAACGAAAATGGTGTTTCTTCTCATTCATTATTAGTAATATCAAAGGGAACTTTTACATATCTTATTAAAATTCAGACCAAATAGGAAAAGCACTCATGTAAATAACAATATCCCTAACTTATTGTGAGTAGTGTATAACGTAAGAACCATGAATTAAGTTCTTAGTAGATATGAGAAGAAACGCTATTACCTGCCAGTAAGTTCAGTTATAACCATATAACCAAGTGACATTCAACAAGGTGAAATGTAAACAATATGATCACATGACTGGAATAAAAAAATATATTTCAAAATATAATTACTATTTAAATCAGATTAAGGATATATTGTAAATAAATTCATGAATTATCATTAAGTTTCTTACTCAGAATTTTGCTCTGTTATGAACACGTGATGCAGAAAAAACAGTTAAAGTTAAGTCAGACTGTTTCGGCTGCTGAGAGGAGAGAATGAAAAGAGGAGAGGAGTAGTTGATGTCTGATGAGTCAGTCTGACTGAAATGTTTAAAAATTATAAATCAAATTTATAATCATGGAAATATTCAACAGGGTGTGGATAATTTTTTTTACTAAAAGACATCAGAGGTTTCGTTTTTATTTCCAGTTACTATCACAGAGTCTGATCATGTTATTCTGAACTACAGTGATGAAGAAGAGAGTAAAAGCTTCATCACTGTCAGAAATCCTGCTGGATTAAAGAATCTTTGTTCAATTAAAATGAAGATATAATAGTAATTATATTAATTTAATGTGATAAACTCTCCATTCAAGCTCTGTTATGAAACTGAGAGTGGACACATGCTCATCTGGAACAGCATAATGATGCCACTGATTTATATTTCCCGCAGGGGATTACTGAAGTATTTCTGATTCTGATTCTATATACTGTATATGTCAATTGATCATCGTTATTGATCACTTAAATCTTTTTTCACTCTTTTTTTCCTGTCAGGATCCTGTAGGATTGATGACTCTGTTTTTCCAGTGATCTGATTGGTCAGTTGTTGGGCTGTTGACAGGTTTTGATTTGATCCTCTGAAGTAAACCTGCGCCGGAGCAGGAGTTCAGCATCAGTTACCATGATGATTTACCCCGATAGCAAGTGAACCACTGTTGTAAGACTGAAAACCGAGAGTTAACCCGATAACCTCAAATCCTGCTTCATAGTACAGGCCTCAGATGTGTCAAGTTTGATCTGTGTTTATTGTTTTATCTTCTGGTTATTTATGTCAAAAACTATGAGGGGCATGGTTGAATGAAGGGCAATGCATCATGGGTAAGGTTTAAGATAGTTTTCACTGGGCTTATCGATTACTAGTGTATCCTACCAGTCCTGTTCTGGCGTCATAGCAGCCACAGCGGGGCAGGCTGCGACAGCCCAGGAAGGCGACTAGAGAGGAGAGGGCCAGGCTGATGGTGCAGGTCAGCAGGATGGTGGCGTTGGCTCCCTTCACCATCCGATGGAGCACGAATGTCTGAGCAGAGATGATGTATGAATGATTTGTTAGTAATAAAACACTCAAAGCTGTGATGTTGTAGCACTACACTTTGTTTAAGTCTTTTGTTTGAGCTCACACTGCAGTTGCAGTTTTAATTTAATTGTAATGATCAAAAATGAAAATTTGTGCACCTATGTAAAACAAAAAGTACTGTCAGCTGACTTATCATTCATCTTTTTAATCTTTCATTCTTCAAAGCTAAACCTCATCAACCTTTCTCATGGTACATGTTACTGACATGTAACAACACAAAAATCACAGGTGGAACCAATAATATTTATGATGCCTCTGTTCAGTAATACCAGGAGGCTAACAGTTATTCCTGACAGGATATTAATTACATCTGTGTTTAACAGGTCTGCTCTGAAGGAGGTCAACATGCTTCCTTTATTAAAACTTTCGAGCAGTGGTTACCACTTGAGGACTGTCATGGTGGTGGAAGACGTCCTCATTCTCCTCCCCGTAGGTGAGCGTCAGACAGGCATAACCTGAGATGAAGAGTGCAGCCACACAGGAGAGGCCAGCTGCTGCCACCATCACACTGACCTGCAGGGACAGGAGGACCAGTTCAGCCCAGGAAACAGTACTCTGTGTGTGTGCGTGTATGTGTGTGCGTGTGTATGTGTGTGTGTGTGTGTGTGTGTGTGTGTTTCTGACTGACACATTTTGTGTGTGTGTTTTTCTGATACATTATTCTTAATTCCTTAATATTCAACTAGGTGTAAAGAATATGCTAAAATGACAATTTTATTAGGTTTGTTTTAATGTAGCATAAGTTTAGTCAGGAAGACTATCTCTATTCTCCCTCTCTCACCCCACTCCTTGTAATCAGTTGACTTCAGGTGCACAGCCACAACCAATCAGATCTCACCACTATGTGCCACTGCATTGTAAATAACATGCAGTAAAAGCATCAAAAAATCAAGTATTTGCATCAAATGCCAAACACTTTTTAGTATAGTAGTTTTGTGTTGTGTTGTTCTAAATGTTCTAAATGTTCTAAATCTAAAACTTGTCTGTTATTCAAAGGCTTGTATATACACTGCTCAAAAAATTAAGGGAACACTTAATCATCGCAGTATAACACCGGGTCAGTTGGTGAGAGGGCAAGAGGCTATGGTCTGGAAAAGCAACATGCCCAGGTGGTGTGTGTCCAAGGCTGTGCAGTCCAGCTGGCTAAGCCTCTCCAGAGGATCTTTAACTTAAGTCTACAGACAGGGAGGGTCCCGGTCCGGTGGAAAACATCATGTTTTGTTCCGGTACCTAAAGAAGGGCGACCGGCTGAGATAAATGTATACAGACTGGTGGCCCTCACATCACACATCATGAAGACCCTGGAGCGGCTGCTTCTCTGCCTTCTAAGGCCACAGGTTGAACATGCTCTAGACCCCTACAGTTCGCCTACAATAACATATTGGAGTGGATGATGCTGTCCTTTACATGCTCCACCAGGCCCACTTTTACTTGGATTTAACACCATCCTACCCCCCATCCTTAAAGACAAGCTCGGAGGGATGGGGGTGGATCCCTACTTGACGTCCTGGATTGTGAATTATCTGACAAGATGACCACAGTACGTCAGGCTGGGTAACTGTGTCTCAGAGACAGTGATGAGCAGCATTGGGGCTCCACAGGGGACTGTTCTGGCTCCGTTCCTGTTCACCCTGTATACGGCAGACTTTAAATACTGAGTTTTGCCACATCCAGAAAAGTAGGATGTGACAGTTATTGTGGCGTGTATCAAAAACAGGCAGAAAGAGGAGTACAGGGATCTGACGATGGCCTTCAGTGAATGGAGTGACAAGAACTGCCTCCTTCTGAACACCTCCAAGACCAAGGAGATTGTCATCAACTTTCTGAGGTCTAGGCCCACCTTTCAGCCAGTCAACATTTGCAGGAAGGACATTGGGGTGGTGCACACTTATAAATACCTAGGTGTGCACCTGGTGAGTAAACTGGACTGGTCCCTGAACACGGATGCCATATACAGAAAGGGGTAGAGCCGGCTCTTTTTCCTTAGGAGACTCAGGTCCTTTGAAGTCTGCAGTGAAATGCACGTTTTACCAGTCAGTGGTGGCCAGTGTACTTTATATTATGGTGCTGTCTGCAACACACAACTGAACACAAGGAGACTGGACATGCTGGTCCATACAACAACTCAGCCAAAGAAAGTGGACTAATTTAATTATTATTGTTTATTTATTATTAACTATTTTCTTTATTATCAACAATGAGCTTATGGACACATGAATTTCCCCTAGGGGATAAATAAAGTATCTATCTATCTATCTATCTATCTATCTATCTATCTATCTATCTATCTATCTATCTATCTATCTATCTATCTATGTATCCTGTCCATTTAGGAAGCACAAGTGATTGTGAATCACTTTCACCTGCTTTGGTGCAATTAAAGATCTGCAATGGAGAGGCAAAAGCAAGACAACCCCAAAAAGGGAATAGTTTTGCATGTGGTGGCCATAGACAATTTCTCTCCCCTTATCCTTCCTGACTGATTCTTCTCTAGTTTTGTGTTTTGCTAGTGTCCTTGTCACTACTGGCAGCATGAGGTGGTACCTGCAGCCCAATCAGGTTGCACAGGTAGTCCAGCTCCTCCAGGATGACACATGCATTCGTGCAGTCGCAAGAAGGTTTGCTGGGTCTCCCAGCACAGTCTCAAGAGTACCAGGAGAGTGGCCGTTAAATGAGGAGAGCTGGACAGGTCCATAGAAGGGCATCAACCCAGCAGGACTGGCACCTGCTCCTGCAAGGAGGAACAGGAGGAGCACTGCCAGAGCCCTACAAAATGACCTCCAGCAGGCTACTGGTGTGCATGTTTCTGACCCAACTGTCAGAAACAGACTCCATGAGGGTGGCATGAGGGCCTGACGTCCTCTAGTGGGACATGTGCTCACAGCCCAGCACTGTGCAGCTCGATTGGCACTCGCCAGAGAACACCAGAATTGGCAGGTTGGAGTCACGTGACGTGCTTGGTGAAGATAGCTTCCTGAACCGAGGTTCCAATGATTATCGTTAAAATAATCCTGAAGCCATTGTGTTTAAGAAGTTACTGTATATGGATGTGCTTTACACGTTGAAATTGCTTTGATCACATAGGATGGCGAAACATCTCAAAAGCAGGGACATTAAGAAGCATTTGCGGTCTCAAAAAACACATCATGACAACAACAACTCCAGGTCAGGAGCCCCAGAGATGGCACATTAGCCAGGATATCACTAATCTTTGCTACACTGCAAAAAATATCCAGTCATTTAGCCAGCCTCGAGGGCATACGTTGAACCACAGCCTTGGTTAAAGGTTAAACTTTCTTAACTTATCACACAAATGGTGGAAATGGAGAAGAGGGTGGAATGGCTGGAGGACGCAGATTAAAAAATGTGTGTCACTGGAGGCTAACCCCGTCGCCACTAAAGCTGAGGTGGAAGACAACTTGAAGATTTGGAGAACCACAACAGACGCAATAACCTACGATTTGTGGGTTTCCCAGAAGGCAAAGAAAGCAGGAACATGACAGTATTTATGCAGAAACTACTGACTTCTGTCCTTGGCAGGGATGAAACTGTGCAACCACCAGAGATTTGGGTGCAAAGGAACCCGATACCACAGCCAAATCCAGGGGAGAGACTGCAAATGATCCTGGTTCGCTTCCTACGCTTGGCTGGTAGAGAGCTCATTTTATGCATGGCACGGAATAAATCTGAGCTGACCTGGGAAAGTAACCAAATCATGACATTCCTCAACTTCTCACGGACTACACAGCTGAAACAGGATAAATTCAAGGAATGTAATAAGGCTCTGCATGAGTGCAAACTAAGTTCGCACTCATCTACCCTGCTATGCTGCGGATCAATCACAACAGGGGGCAGAAGCACTTTGATGACCCGAAAAAAGCAATGGAATATATTCAGAAGGTTCCGGTGTGAGTATGACCTGGAAACGGCCAGGACCAAAATAAGAGGTATTCATCTGTGAGGCACATTAACCTGGAGGAGGTGTCTGGATTAAGGGGACAGAGGGAGAAAAAAAGGGAGATGGACGTTGGTCATTGTGCAGATATTATTATTATTATTATTATTATTGTTATTTATTACCCCATCATTTTGTTTGCTGTGCTCTCCTCCAAAGGTTTGATTTACATGTAGTGATAATAATGCTCTCGGTCGATGTGGGGTAAGTCACTTGTCAGTCAATGCTCATGGACTGTCAGCTGTGTTCTATTAAAGGGGTTCACACAGTGTTCAGGGTTATGTGTTATGTCTGGGTAGTTGGCCTCTTTAGGTTGGAAAGGGCTAACAGGGTTACGTATAAGCACATAGTTGAGGAGTGGACAATTTGTGCATTTCCACTTGGAATGTGAAGGGCCTGGGACATCCAATTAAAGAAAAAAAAATACTTGCAATTTTGAAATCTAAACAATTTGATGTAGTGTTTTTACAGGAGATGCATCTCTCTGCTGAGGAATCAGAAAAATTGTGTAGGGATTGGGTGAGCCACGTTTATGTGTAGGATCTGTGGCGTTTTAACACTTAATAAAAAAATACAATTTAAAATGCATAAGGCAAATTAAAGATAGAATGGGAAGGGTTTTTTATAATAAATACTGAAATACAAGGTCACATGATTGTTTTGACAACTATTTATGCTTTGAATGGAGAGGAGCCACAGTTCTTTGCCGATTTAGAGGCAAAAATGCAGCAGGCACGAGATCACAAGGCTATTATTGGTGGAGATTTTAATTTGGTAATGGTTCCCATCCTTGATCGTAGTAGTACTATCTCAATTACGATGTCCAAGACTTCGATGGCAGTGAAACATATGGCTGATTCCTTGGGTTATATAGATGTGTGGAAGATGTTAAATCCAAAAGGAAGGGATTATTCTTCATAAACGTCTTTTCAGCTCTCCCTGACCTTAATTCCTATAAACTGGTGTTGGATAGGGACTTCAACGGTGTTCTTCATGTTCATGTAGACAGGCCACATCTGAGACCAGATAGTACTCTGTCATCAGCTGCATTGGCTATTAACTCCTTTCTTCGCTCTTGTGGCCTGTCAGATCCGTGGCGGACAAAAAATCCTAATACAAAACAATTTTAATTTTTTTTCCCCCATCCACCATGGTTACTCCAGGATCGACTATTTTATTGTAGATGACCAATCACTTCCCTTTATTCCCAACAGTCAGTACCACAGCATAGTGCTATCAGATCAGTACAAATAGATATGATATTTCCAGATAATGTAGCGCCCCAGCAAACTTAGCGTCTAGACCTCCACTTGCTTTCAAGTGAACACTTCAGAACATATCTGAGATTTACTTTTTTTTAGGAATTAATGACACTCAGGACGTTTCGAGGAGTATTCTATGGGAATCTCTGAAAGCATACGTCAGGGGACAAGTTATCTCTTATGTTGCACATAGTAACAAGGAGCGCTCTAAGCGACTTAAAGATTTGATATGCAGAATTGCAGATATTGATAAACGTTATGCTCTCTCGTCCACGCCAGATCTTTTTAAAGAAAAG